CCAGATATGGACCCTCGACTCTATGGTCAACTAATCTTCGACAAAACAGGAAAAAATATCCAATGGAAAAAAGACAGTCTCTTCAATAAATGGTGCTGGGAAAATTGGACAGAAAAATTCAGAAGAATGAAACTCAACCATTTGCTTACACCATACACAAAGATAAACTCTAAATGGATGAAAAACCTCAATGAGAGACAGGAATCCATCGAAGTCCTAGAGAACATAGGCAGTAACCTCTTTGACATTGGCCACAGCAACTTCTTTCAAGACACGTCTCCAAAGGCAAGGGAAACAAAAGCAAAAATGAACTTTTGGGACTTCAACAAGATAAAAAGCTTCTGCACAGCAAAGGAAAGAGTCAACAAAATAAAGAGGCGACCCACGGAATGGGAGAAGATATTTGCAAATGACACTACAGATAAAGGGCTGATATCCAAGATATATAAAGAACTACTCAAACCCAACACCCAAAAAACAAATAATCAAGTCAAAAAATGGGCAGAAGACATGAACAGACAGTTCTCCAAATAAGACATACAAATGGCTAACAGACACATGAAAAAATGTTCATCATCATTAGCCATCAGGGAAATTCAAATCAAAACCACTCTGAGATACCACCTTACACCAGTTAGAATGGCAAAAATTGACAAGGCAAGAAACAACAAATGTTGGAGAGGTTGTGGAGAAAGTGGGAACCCTCTTACACTGTTGGTGGGAATGCAAAGTGGTACAGCCACTTTGGAAAACAGTGTGGAGGTTCCTCAAAAAGTTAAAAATAGAGCTACCCTATGACCCAGCAATTGCACTACTTAGGGATTTACCCCAAAGATGTAGTAAAAAGAAGGGCCACATGCACCCCAATGTTCATAGCAGCAATGTCCACAATAGCCAAACTGTGGAAAGAGCTGAGATGCCCTTCAACAGATGAATGGATAAAGAAGATGTGGTCCATATATACAATGGAATATTACTCAGCCATCAGAAAGGATGAATACCCAACTTTTGAATCAACATGGATGGAACTGGAGGAGATTATGCTAAGTGAAATAAGTCAAGTAGAGAAAGTCAATCATCATATGGTTTCACTTATTTGTGGAACATAAGGAATAGCATGGAGGACACTATGAGAAAGAAGGGAAAAAATGAAGGGGAGGAAACCAGAGGGGGAGATGAACCATGAGAGACTATGGACTCCTGGAAATAAACTGAGCGTTTTAGAGGGCAAGGGGTGAAGGGATGGGTTAGCTCGGTGATAGGTATTAGGGAGGGCACGTATGCATGGAGCACCATGCATGGAGCACTGGGTGTTATACACAAACAATGAATCATGGAACACTACATCAAAAACTAATGATGTACTGTATGGCAACTAACATAACATAATAAAAAAATTTTTTTTTAAATAAATAAATAAATGCAGACTTGTTGTGAGTCTTACTTTCCAAATTCTGATTCCACAGGTCTGGAGTAGGGCCTCAGGGATATACATTCTGATGCAGGGATTAGAAGTCTAAACTTTGAAAGGCATTTTTCTTCAGTAGTGAGTACATAGCACACAGTACCATATCTGCCTAATTCATCGATTTAGAGTCCCTTCAACTTTCACTCATGTAGTCTTTTAACCCCGAGTTAAGATCAAATTCAAATACTTATTTTTTTTATTTTTTACAAAGACCTGTACCTTACATTCAGGTGTCTCTGTATCAAATGCATATTACTATTTTGATTATTTGTCTCAGTTCTACTAACTGAACTTCTGCTTTGTTCCTGTGATGAAGCACTTACCTTGAGTACCAATGGACTCAGTAATGAGTCTTCTGACTCATTTTCAGTCTTGAACCTCTCATTTATCTCAGAATTATTGTGCTGTTTTTTTTTTTTCCAGTTCTCTGAGGCTCAGCTCCTGTACAATGATCAAGACCATTGTACCTGATGCTAGACCATCGGCCTGGACTTGAACATATTTCCTTCTGTTAGATTCTACATAGCAATAGTCTGCTGCCCACTTACTAGGGAAATACCTATTACTCCTTTCTGGACCTCTCTGACACTGCCTGTCCTCACTGCTACATATTATCAACCATCAAAGTTCATGGGTAATCTACTCCAGTATTTCCCCAAATTTACAGAGCATCAGATCACCTAGAGAGATGCTTAAAAGTACAGATTCTTGGGCATCACCTCTTGAGGCTGTGATTCAGCAAGTCTGGAGTGAAGTCTGTGGCTTTAAAGCTTGGCATGTCATTGAAGAATTTAAAACACCCACCCACCCACCCACACACCCACCCACCCACACACACACACACACTTAAACTGGGCTTTTAAGAATGAATACAATTTTATATGACATAAAAAAGGAAAAGGACACTACAGCTACAGGAATCAAAGCAATCTGATCATGAGAAAGTGTTGGGTAGGTTTAAAAAGAGTGAGTCTAGTCAATTATTAGCCCCATAGCAAGTGGCAAGAGTTTAATAAATGTTCTTTGAATTGAATACATGAAGTCTAATGCGCTGAAAAAATGAAGTTTGGCTAGAGGCATCAGCTAGATGAAGAAACGCAGTGGAGGGACATAAGAATGAAAAGCTAGACAGAAGTCAGATTCTAATTGGTGATAAATTCTGGGATGCATTTTCTAGACAACAAGAATAAGTAAAACATTTGGAGTATCCTGGGTCATCTCCTACACCTTGTACCTTTCATTCTTATCTCTATGCTTCAAATACCCAAATCTATAAGTCTAACTTCTACCCTCGGATAATAAACTTCAACTGCCAACACATAAATGCTCTAAATTGTGTATTAGAGACAATTCAATCAAAGTAAGTAGGTAGGAAGAAAAGACTGCTGGGCGGGCTGGATGAGGGTGTGTGGTGAGGCTACTTGAGGGTATTATTTATTACAGGAAGCAACGAGAATCTGATGCAAAATGGGGCAGTCAAGTTGAAGAAGGAGCAGATTGCAGAACCATGGCAGAGATGGAATTAATAAGACCTGATTTTATGTAGGAGAGATGGGAGCAAGAATCACATATAAATATGAGGCTTGGTGTCCAAATGATTATAAAGTACAGGCATAGAAGAGAAGAATTCATGTAGCATAAATTCCATGTGAAGATGCTTAGGGTTGATACGCCAACCAGTTCCTTAGCTGAAATTTTCTAATAATTTATGTGTGTGTGTTTGTGTGTGACAGAGAGAGAGAGAGGAGAGGATAAAATGCAGGAGAAAGTAGATTGAATTGACGGAGTGATGTTCTAGAGGAGATATGATATTGAAACAAAAATAAACAGTTAGATTCCTGAAAAGAAGAAAGCAATGACACCCCTGAGAGACTATCTTGAGAGCATAAACAAAGATATGGGCAAATTTTGAAGGAGGTCAAGTCAGTATCACTGATGTAGTAAAATGAATAATCACATCAAATATAGAAGATAGTGTGGGTAAATTATGTTCAAAATGAGAGCAGAATTCTGCTATGGAAAATTGAAAGAGTGTAAACAAAGGAAGTATAGAAGATTATGGAGCAGGTAGGAGAGTTAGAAAAGGTTAATTTACAGCTGAAACAGGTAAATAATTTCTATTTTTTTTTTTATAGCATTAGTCTTCAGCCAGCATCTGGTGAAAACAAACAATGGAATTCTCTGGTTGGGAAACCCCTGGAAGATGAGTCACAATGGCCTGGTTTGAGATGTGAGGAGTAAGAAGCAGGTGTTGCTGAAAAGCATCAATTCCAGCTGAACAGGGAGAACACTGAAGTCTGAAGAAGTGTTGCACTGAAAGAATGAGAAGGAAAGGATGCTGATTAGGATGCTGAAACCAGGGAGAAGGTACACCATGTCTCAAAGTTCTGTGGTTTACCGCCTCAAGGATAGAGAAGTGGAGTAAAATTGGGTGATGCTGATTTCAAAAGGCAGAAGGAATTAAAAGATGCTACCAAGATAACAGATCTGGATGTGCCAGAAGGAAACAATTATGCCATTACCCACAGTCCCTGTTAGGACTTCCAGAGAAGTAGTATTATCAGGAAGGAATCAGACTTACATTTATATGAGCAGGTACAATACTGGAGAAGGTAGAAGGATGAAGGAGATTATGACATAGGTCAGACCAGTGTGAGGAAGGGCAAGAGTTTTCTTCTTTGTGGACTAGAGCTTAGTGAACTGGATGTTTTTATTCAAATAATATACAAGATTAGGGCTAGTATATAGGAAAACAAATAGATGAAAGAGAGTTTGACACTGCCAGCTATGGAATTCAGGGAAGCATCTAGAAGTCCATAAAATCAATTAAGTAAAAAAGAGATAAATATCAAAATGTTTACATGTTCACTCCATATTTTAAATTATGAGAAAGCATAATTCGATAAGCTCAGTTTGGATAATAAGAAATATTTGTGGAAATACAGTAGAACAGATTTGCTCTCTTCTTTCCTCCTTTTAATCTCCTAATGTTGTGGAGAGGGGTCAATGTACTACACAGCTAGTACTCAGGTAACACATGTCATAAAAATGTATGTGTTACATTTTTAAATATTTCTTTCATATCTTCAGATAAATGTGCTATAAAGACAAATACCATATGAATTCACTCATATGTGAAACTTAAGAAACAAAACAGATGAACAGAGGAGAAAAAAAAAGAGAGAGAGAGGCAAAGCAGGAAACAGACCCTTAATTATAGAGAACAAACTGAGGGTTGCTGGAAGGGAGGTGGCTGGGGGATGGGCTAGATGAGTGATGGGGATTTAGGAGGGCACTTGTGATGAGCACTGGGTGTTGTATGTAAATGAAGAATCACTAAATCCTACATCTGAAACTAATATTACATTGTTAACTGGAATTTAAATAAAACCTTGAAATAAAAGAAAAAGATTACAACTGGTGTTGACAAATGTATGACACAGGCCACAGACAGTTACTTGTTTTGGGTGTTAGGTACCTCTTTCAGGTAAATTACCTGCTTCAGATTAGTTACATGTTTCACAGTAGTTACCTGCTTCAGGTAGTGTGCTGACGTTGCATGTTTTTTCATCACCTTCACCAGCTGAGGTTGAAGCTCTTATTTTAAAGACATATGAGGTATTGGCAAGAAGTTTCCCGAAAGTATACATATGATCTTGATCTTGGGGAGAGACTCTTGTAGAATTCCTTTCAACTGTTATCACATAATGAATAATTATTCCATTTGCCTTTTTGGGCGGATCCCACTTCACTAAAGCTGACTGCCAGCTAGTGGCCAAACACCGTATGTTCTGTACAGCATCTGGAACTTAAAAGATAAACAAATGCCCAAAGTTAAAACTTATACACATATAGTAAATGATTTCATTACCTGATTGCTATATAAAATCATGTTTAGGAGTTGAGACTAAATAAAAATTTAACATATCAAACTTGCAATGTGTGCTCAATAAGTTCTTAACATAGACTGAATCAAATGGCAGTTGGCTCATTTTCTATGCTATTATGTTAATCCTTAACAATAGTGAGCCAATCACTGACTATTTTCCCAGGCCCAAGCAGCAATCGTCCTCAAATCCTGAGAAGCAACTAACTATATAGCCTCAAGCTCAGGCAGTGGTTGAAGCCTGCCCTCTTTATCTCTTAACCTGAAAGGAGTAGTCTTAGTAATACTTTTTTTATGGAACATTTTTATGGAAAACATAGATGTAGGTACCTCCATGATTGACACATCTGGGCCTAACATTGTTAGGAGATAGTTGGACAGTTAGGTAGTCAGGGTGATGGTCCCCAGTGAGAAAATATGTAGTCAGGACAGCTAAAATAAAACAGCACTAACATCTGGTTTTGCAGCTTAGACAGGACCGCACTGACATTCTGCTTTGCAGCCTTTGCAGAAATGACTTCTGCAAAATGTCCTAAAATAAGACAATTAACCACAAAGCATATGTCAATATCATGAGCAAGGGGCAGTTAAGACATAAGCCCCCAGATATCAGCCAAAAGAGACCATCAGCATGTGGACATTAACCTAATACGTAGACAGATACGTGATCAAAGCCCTGGTTGGCATGACTCAGCACACCCTGATTGCTGAAGATAGTTCTGCAAAAGAGCTCAGAAAAACCCTTAAACTTAGAAACTCCGAGGGTAACCCTCTCAGGTCCCCTCCCTCTCTGGGAGCTTTATACTCTTGTTCAATAAACTTTGCTTTGGGGCTCACCACTCTTTGTCTGGTCTACCTTTTCATTCTTCAAAGCGGCATGACCAAGAACCCAGGGCACTAAAGGCAGAGAATTCCTGCAACAACAGTACTAGGAAACATGCAATCAATTTAGGGATTTTGTTTTTACAATTGGTAGGCTTCTTTGGAAGAATTGTAAAGAACTGATCCCTCAGTATCTTTTAAAAAGTCATTGGAGGGAAGATTTAAATCAGTCCCAGTTTTTAATTCAGTCCTAGTTTTTTTCTAGAACTTCTATGAACTTACTTGGAAGTAACCCAGTTTCTCAGAGGCCCACTATATCTTGTGGACCTGGTTGAAGAGCAGTACCCCAGCCCATCAAAGTGACTGCAGATTAGAGAGACTGGCTACTTCCCATGGAAATGTCCAATTACATAATGCCCCCTAATATTAGCATAGCTTTTCTTATTATAGTAAAAAGAGGATGCTAGAAGGAAAATTCGCATATCATCATTTTGTGGATTATAAAGAAGTAGTGGAGTATAAAGAATTTGTGGAGTATAAAGAAGTATAAACAACTTGCTGTCATTATGCAAAACAGTTATTTAAAGAATACTCAAGTATTATCTTTGATTTTTCATCTGACCTAAATTTATCTTTACAAATCCTTCTTCCTTTGTAAGATAAAGACATCAGAACTGAAGGATGTGTGGCATTTAAAATGAAAGAAAAGACAATTTCTCAGCTGATCCAGGGTTCTGGCAATTAAATATTATTAATTATTTGCTTCCTTATTTTCAAAAATATATAATATTTTCATAAAGTAAATTAAGAGACAGTTGACACTTTGCTTAAGTTTAATTTATAAACCCAGATTTTGTGAATATCTATTTCACTGACTGTAAATCAAAAAATAATTAACCAGCGATATTTAACACTTAAAGTTGAAAATTTTCTTTTATTTAACCAATCAAGGCATAGAATTGTATGCAATAATTTTATTTTATTTTATTTTTAAAGATTTTATTTATTTATTTGACAGAGAGAGAGAGACATAGCGAGAGAGGGAACACAAGCAGGGGTAGCAGGAGAGGGAGAAGCAGGCTTCCCGCGGAGCAGGGTGCCCGATGTGGGGCTCGATCCCAGGACCCTGAGATCATGACCCAAGCCAAAGGCAGACGCTCAACGACTGAGCCACCCAGGCGCCCCTCAATAATTTGATTTTATTGATAAAAGTATCTACTGTGTTACTGTCTACAAGATTAGCCTTGATTTTTACTAAACCGATACATGTATAAATTGTTAAAGTGTTTTTCTTGTTTATAAGTTTGGCATTTGTATATAATATGTAAATTATCATTTATAATATAACCATTTCCTACAGTCATGTCTACCCTTCACTAGAGGTCAGAAACTAATGTTCTAATTCAGTTTCTTCACTTTTTCAGACCTTTTTATCTAAACTGCCTGAATCATGGTTTTTTCATCCGTAATACGAGAATGGGGCAACAGTAATATTTTTTTTGACCACTAAATGTGTGTCCAACACTCTAATAAGAACTTTATGTGGATCTTTTAAAATATTTTGCACCACAACCTTATAGGTGGCTACTGCTAATATGTGTTTCTTTTCAGTTAAGAACATAGATGCTCAGAGGACTCATGGACCTTTGCAAGGTTATACAGCTAGTAAGCTTGTATTCAAATCCAGACACTGACTTCAAAGCATGCACTTTTATCCACGATAAATATTGTCTTAGCCTGTCTTACAGGAATGCTATGGGAAAAAAGTCTCAGATATTCATAAATTAATGCAAAAATGACTAATTTATCAGTGAGTGCTCCCCAGTTTCAATTTAGAGATTCACTAAAGCAAGAGGAAGTGCATCTAAAGGTATAAAAAAAAAAATAACTAGAGCAATATCTTGTGCTCACTCAATAATCATTGATGAAAAAAGTGAGGAAGAGGTGCCTTTAAACATATGGTCCAGTTGAGAGAAGGAAAAGTGCATTTCTAAGCCACCCATGAAATAGATCATAAATGAAACCTATCCAGTACACAAGCAAAGGTGAGCTTTGGCATGGATATGACATGTAGGTAAGTTGTTTAATTAAACCAGTGGTATTTCATAGTCTTCATAATCCCCTCCACATGTTACAAATGGACTACAGGAAAGTAGAAGTTTACATAATGACCAGTGGTCTTCACGTGTCACAATATATCTTCTTTAAAAAACCATTGGTATCGCTTCATGTAAATATAAACCAACCTGTTAAAAGTGGCTACTGGTTGGTTTCTCTTCCCTCCCCCCAATCCCAGCTGTCTCAGTTGATACTAAGAATTTAGGAAACAAAACAAACGAGAAAGGGCAATAAAAAAGGGGGAGAGAGTCAAACCAAGAAATAGACTCTTAACTATAGAGAACTGTTGGTCACTAGAGGGGAGGTGAGTGGGGTTGGGTGAAATAGGTGATGGGGATTAAGGGGGGCCCTTGTGATGAGTACCTGGTGTTATATGGAAGTACTGAATCACTGTTGTATACCTAAAACTAATATTACCTTGTATGTTAACTAACGGGAATTTAACTAAAAACTTTATATAAAAAAAGAATTAGGTAGTTTTTACAGATACCTAGAAACTACTTTATTCCTAAACGATTCCTTGATTTCAATTTCCTCAGTTCAAAAGGAAAAACCACGTGTAAGTATATATATATTTGCACACAAGACCCAGCCTACTGTTAAAGGCCTGAAATTCAACTTCCCTTTGAATGCACTATTAAATGATGATACTTTATCACATAAACCTAAAGGAAAGGAAAAGTGTTAAATACAAAGTGAAACATTTTAGGATCAAAAAACTGTGTCTCACCTGATTCTTGAGTTGTGAATTTTACTACATTACTAAACTGATTGCCATTTCCGACTTTTGTAAAGGCAGATATGCTGACAGAATAGGTGCTGACTGGTTCCAGTCCAAAAAGTTGGGCTTCAGTTTGAACACCTGAAATATTCTGAAAAGCAGGAAAAAATTCGTTGTCATGATGCATCACCAAAAATTTGTAACTGGAAGAAATATTTTATTACATTAAAGTTATGCTGTCTATGTTTAATAAGCATGGTATTTTCAGTTAAAACAAATATTAAACATTTTTTTGTGCCACTGGGTGTGATCATATGATGATATAGGATGAACTGGGCACCCTCTCAGCCCTGAAGAATCTCATAATGGTCATGTTTTTAATTTTTTTTTAATGTTAGAGTATTTTGTTTTCATTTTGTCTCCCTAACACTTGCTTGGATTAATATACTGATTATTTCCTTTAAATTTGCAAAACTGAAAGTCCCCAACTTAAACTTATGGGTGGTTGACAATGTTAGATTATTCTTGAATTCATCTAGAGTCATTTTTTAAAACCCAGTAATACTATGTAAATCAATTTATTCGTCAGCTACTTCTTGCTAGGCACTGGGAATACAACAGCTAATAAAACAAAATCTCTGCTCTCATGAAGCTTAAATTATGAGTTTTCTCAGACAACTCCTAAATTTTACCCAATCTCTTAGGAAAAGGAAAAAAGGAAAACAGTTATCACAACTGCTCAAGGAAGGTATGTGTTCGCATAGAAAAATTTACCATTAAGTATAAAGTCTTCATTCAAAGATAATTGTCAAAACTGAGAGATCAATTAAGACTAATCTGTTATCCTTATGGAAAGAGAAGACAATCTCCTATGATGGTATAATTTTAAAAATACTGTATTTTATCTGACCCAAAATATAAACCATTTTGACTTATTTATTAAACATTTCAGTAACAGAAATTTAGTAAGAATACTAACTCGCAGGGAGTTACAGTTTAGTCACATTTTAAATTAAATCATATTTTAAATTAATATTCCAAGTCATTCATATACTTTAGGGACTCATTCTGTTACACTATTGTCTTCCATTCTTTCACACTTACTATTTATAAAGCATACTGTTAGATAACCAGGAGATTATAAAGATACACATAAATAAATACATGGTTCCTGTGATCAAGGAATTTTTATATTAAACAAAGAAATCTATCAACAAATATTTACTGAGGAGAAATTAAACACAACTAGGTAAATTTCGACTTGGATTAGGAAGGGCTCGTATCCAGAGAAGTGACTGAACCCGAGATTATAATAAAAAACGTGAGCAGCTTACTGGATAGTGATTTACCTAAGAGTAAGTTGTAAGAGGGAGACATGAGTGAGGAATATTTCCAAACATTTTAACAGAACTTTTTAATGAATAAACAATTTCTTTCCATATATGTGAGTGAGCCAAGTTACCAGTAGACCTGGATCTAACTGGTCTCCATGTGGACCACACTGGATTGACTGCAATGGTAGGAATATTTGTGGGTGGTTCTGGAATTATTCTGCCTCCACAAACCCACATATAATTTGAAAGGATAAAAAGGAAAAGAAATAGAAACTGATAGGACAGAGATAGAAGAAGACACAGACAGGGAAATAGGACAATACACTTGGAAAGGAGATAAGGTGGCATGAAGTACACGTAAAGGAACTTAAAATAGACTATGAAGGGGCGCCCGCGTGGCTCATTCGATTAAGTGCCCAACTCGGTTTTTGCTCAGATCATGATCTCAGGGTCCTGAAACTGAGCCCTGCCTCGGGCTCCAACCTCAGCAGGGAGTCTGCTTCTTTCCCTCTCTCTCTGTCCTCCCCATTCTCACGCGTATGCTCTCTCTCTAAAATAAATAAATATCTTTTTAAAAAAGAAGACTATGAAAATTGACAGAAGAGAAAATGGATGTAAAAAGGAGTAACTAAAAGTAGTAAATTTTTTTAAATTTAATTTTATTATGTTATGTTAATCACCATACATTACATCATTAGTTTTTGATGTAGTGTTCCATGATTCATTGTTTGTGTATAACACCCAGTGCT